CCGGTATGGGGGGGGGGGGCAAAACTGGATGCAATACTCCAGATGTGGCCTCTCCAGTTCCCTGCACCCTGTTTTCCTAGTCCTGCCACCCATCTGCCCCATGTCCCAGTCCCTCCCAACCCCATTTTTACCTCAGTGCAACCTGAACCAGTGCCATCTGTGCCATGCCTTGGCCTCCCTGTGGGTCCTGGTCCCCATCCTCACCCTGAATCCAGGCTCTAGTCCCTCAGTATTATCCCCCCATTGTTTCCCTTGCATTGCATGACCCTTCCTTCCCCCAGCCTCATTCAAGGTCTGCCCCCCAGCCTGGTGCAACTTCCCATTGTGCCAGTCCTCCCCACCAGTACACCAGCAAGAACCAGGAGTGACTCCATTAGAGCCAATGGAATTGCACCATATCAAAGCTTGTGTGAGCAAGTGCAAAATCAGGTCCATTGTTCTCACACCTTTGTGAGCCAGGTTTTGTCTCTGGTGTGTAGAACAAGAGTCAGAACATCACAGCAATTACCATGAGGAGACACTTTCCTCCTAAGACCCCGTTTTCAGAAAAGTTACCTTCTGGTTGGTGATGTTGTTGGAGCGGCTCTGTTGGCAATTCCCACAGGTTCCTCAGCACTACGTCTTGGTGATGCCATGTTACCAGCTGGTGCTGCACAATAAAACAGAACAAAACGATCAGTGAGGCATTGATGGATTTATAGGGACCATTGTCTGATTTGCTCACTGAAAAGCATGAGTTAGATTATGGGTTTGGCAAGTCTACATTTTCCACTTCATTTGGGTATTGTGTACCGGTTACTACTGTATCCAGAGGGACATTGGCAAGACGGATCTGGCTGGTACAAAAGCATGAGAGAAATTTGCTAGCCTCCATGTTCAGATGTTGGACCTAATTCCCCTGCGTTACTCCACTGCCTTGCATTGACTTCAGTGACTGTCGGTCAGAACAGAATGTAGCCCATTGTGTGTAAATAAAAGCTCCAGCTCTGTTTTTAGCCTTGCCCACTCCCTGAAGCCCTAACCGTGCATCTGCAACCTTCACTTTCAGCAGTGAGTGGTACGGGCAAGATTTTAGTCTGGTCTATAAGATGGGGAAACACTGACTGGCAGTATGTCAGGGAACCCAGGGTACCAGTGGTATAGGTAGAATAGCTGTAGTATCACTAGGTTCCCTCATCATAAGCAGCTGCAGACCTCTTAGCAGCAGGAAAGGGGCCTGGAGAACGTGATACCCTAATACCAGTGGCTTCTACTCAAGGTGGGCAAAACTCATCGTGACAGTTTCAAGCCCACTTTAACATTGTGGGGCTGGAAGTCTGACTGACATTAGTGGGTTTGATTTCTGCTTATGCAAGATGGTACAAAATGTAGAAGAAAGAAGAGTAATTAAAAAGGGGTGTGAAAATGCAGTAGAGGGTGGGAATACGAAAATACAAAGATTATGGACATGGGGCACTGGGATTTGGCTGTGATGGGGTGAGAGGAGGAGTTGAATAAAGTTGGTTGAAATACTGGAACACAAATATCATACACTGGACTCCCACTTTTGACAACCTTGCTCTTCTCTCTCTAACACACAACACAGAAATCCTGTTACCTGGAAACACTGTTCTGAGAGGTGCGTCTCTCTTGGATGCATAAAAGGGGGATTCATATATTAAATTTCAGAGGAAAAAGATTTGCCAGTTCAGTCTAGTCTTGTGAAGCCAGAACAGTTTCATGAGGGGTACTGAAAACCTAGACTACACAAGATTCACCCATTCCCTGTGTAGATTCTGTAGTCGCTGCCAGTTATTGGCAGGGTAGGGAGAGAATGGCTCATGCCTATTAATTAACAGTGACCAGATTTGATGGCCTCCTCTGCATGACATTGGTTAAACTCCCATTAATATTTTCCTTCTAGTTCTGGGCACCTTAATACCGGCAATATGTAGGGCAACTGAGGGAATACACAGAAGAGCAGCAAAAATAAATCCTGAGGTTAGAGGGACTGACTGTATTAGGAGTCAGAGTTCCTGGCTCTCAGCGACATGTTGTAGGTAACAGGGCACATGGCTTCCTGAGAGAAGGGGCATAGATCTCACTGAATAATGGGACACTTTTGAGGAATATAAGGAATACTACAATACAGTATCAGACGGCAGAACAGTCTCCCAAGGGAAGGGGTGAATGTCCCAGGCCTCGGAACATTTACACGCCACTGGACAAGCACTGGAGAATAGACTGGAGGGAACACTGCAGAGCTGGGCAGAAGGGATGGTGAAAAAGATGGGACCCTTGTTATCTCTTTGAAACCTGCAGGTCTAGGAAGGGAATGAGGGGCTCATAGAGGGGTTGCTCCCAGATAAGCAACCTTTCTGTTTAGGGAGGACTTTGTCCACTAGCTCTGCAAAGTGAACAGTGCTGTAGAGTTAAAGACAATACCTTGAGGATTCACTGTCTCTGAGGACTCAGAGCCAGTTACATTCCTTGGTGTATTCTCCATGATTACAGACTCTGAAAAGAAAACGATCTGTAAGACTCTCTTCATACAAATTTCTTCTTGGTCTTTCTTCAGAATTAGGAGGGTGCCCCTCATCCCCCATGATGTTTGTGTCTCCTACCACAATCACATTGATAGAATTCATGTGAAAAGCACAGATAAAGGAAATATGAATGAGCTTCAGTAAACTGTGTGACAGACAGCAGGGAAAGTTGGAGATAGTGTTGCACACTATTGGGTGAAAGCAATAAGTAGTATAACCACAATAGTATTCATCACCATTTATTTTTGAGAGGTTTCCATTTAGGGCTTCTGTCCCACCCTCCGACCCCGTTTCCGTTGGCGCCAAAGTTTGGCGCTGTCAGCCATTTTGAAAAAAAATTGTTTGAATAGGAGGAGTATTCTGTGTTTGTGCTTTGATACATTTAGCGAAAAAGGTTGAAAGAATAGAGTGAGAGAGTTTAACGATTATAAAAAGAAAGTTTGAGTAAGGTTTAGAGGTAAAAAGGAAAGAAAGGTTATTTGGTGAGGTTGAGTAAGGAGAGATGATTTTAAAGGCCTAGTTTGGCAGGTTATTAAAGAATAGAAAATTTTGAAATAAATGTAAAAAGTATTAAATATAAGGGTAGGTTAAGAAAAGAGCATTTAAAAAGAGTTAAATAAAGGAGAAAACTAGGCTTAAAAAGGACACACATGGACAAAAAAGGAAATTTACTAAGGCAAAGCCTGTTTAGTAAACACATGGTAAAAACTATAAAGGCAGGTTAAAAAAAACACATTTAAACTATTAACTATCAGGGTAGGTTAAGAAAAGAGCATTTAAAACATTAAATAATATTGAAAACTAGGTTTAAAAAGGGAATTTACTAAGGCAAAGCCTGTTTAGTAAGCACATGGTAAAAAATATAAAGGTGGCTAATAAAAAAACATTTAAATTATTAAATATAAGGGTAGGTTAAGAAAAGAGCATTTAAAAACATTAAATAATATTAAAAGCTAGGTTTAAGAAAAACACACATGGCAAAAAAGAGGAAATTTACGAAGGCAGAGCCTGTTTAGTAAGCACACGGTAACAAAGGTAATAGAAAAGCATTTAAACTGTTAAATACTGTACAAGGGTACATTAAGAAAAAGGCATTTAAAAAGAGTTAAATAAAAAAGAAAGAACAGGGCAAGAAAAATGAAAAGAAAACCCCTTTGCAAAGGGCAAAGATAGACAGAACATGGTTGAGTCAGAGAGAGAGATCTTACCCTTCCAAGTCTTTTTGCCAAATGAGGCAACTTCCCAGGTTCAGAGCCCCTCAGGCTTGTTCTCACCGCCTTTGGATCGGCCCAATCAGATGTTGTTCTACAGCAGCGTCATAGAATTCATTTTCCTGAACCAATCCTATAGTCCCAAGATTTTTAAACAAGAGTCATCTCCCTCCTCTCCCGTCACTAATGCCCTACCACCTTCAACTGCCTTATTCTGATCTAAAAAAACAGAGCATTTTTCCCACCATGTAGCCCTTTTACATAGGGGCTTTAATAAAAGTTAAAACCACAAGCTTTTAGTAACAAATAATTTTTAAAAGTTTCCCCCTATATTTTAGACTAACATGGATTATTTTTTAGTAAGAACTATTTGAAGCTGCAGCAAAACCCCCGTTAGCAAAAACAGTGTCTGTAAGTCAGTGGATTAGAGATAAGAAGGCTGCTTCTTCCCCAAACTGTTTAACAAATGCAAGTAAAAGTTATATTAAGTCTTGTAAAGGGATAAACACTTTAAAAGACAAACCTATGTGAAGACACATCCCTTTATTTACAGGGGTGGTTCAATAAAATAGAGCATGCAGAAACACCCCAGGTTTAATACCACAGAAAACCTGTTTATAAAAGTAATGTAAAAAAGTTTCCCCCTATGTTTTAGACTAACGTGGGTTATTTTTTAGTAAGAACAATTTGAAACAGCATGCTTTTTTAACAAAGCCATTGACAGCAAAAACAGCGTCTGTGAGTCAGTGGATCAGAGATAGAAGGCGGCTTCTTCACCTACTTTTTAACAAATACAAGTGAAAGTTATATTAAGTTTTGTAAAGGAATAATCAATTGAAAAGACAAACCTATATGAAGAAACAGCCCTTTATTTAGCACTTTTGCATGTGTTGTAATAAAAAATGAACATGCAGAAACAACCCAGGGTTAAACCCACAAACCCGTACTAACAAAAAGCTTTTAAAGGCTTTAAAAGCTTTTTAAAAACTATTTCACATTTGGGGACAATATATACCTTCAAGTCAGCGGCACTGCTATGGGTACCCGCATGGCCCTACAGTATGCCAACATTTTTATGGCTGACTTAGCTCTCGTCCCCTAACGCCCCTACTCTACTTGCGCTACATTGATGATATCTTCATCATCTGGACCCATGGAAAAGAAGCCCTTGAGGAATTCCACCATGATTTCAATAATTTCCATCCCACCATCAACCTCAGCCTAGGACAATCCACACAAGCGGTCCATTCTACTGTGCTAATAAGCGATGGTCACATAAATACCACCCTATACCGGAAACCTGCTGACCGCTACACTTACCTACATGCCTCCAGCTTCAATCCAGGACACACCACACGATCCATTGTCTACAGCCAAGTTCTAAGATATAACCGCATTTGCTCCAATCCCTCAGACAGAGACAAGCACCTACAAGATCTCTATCAAGCATTCTTAAAACTACAATACCCACCTGCTGAAGTGAAAAAACAGATTGACCGAGCCAGACGAGTACCCAGAAGTCACCTCCTAAAAGACAGGCCCAACAAAGAAAATAACAGAACACCACTAGCTGTCACCTTCATCCCCCAACTAAAACCTCTCCAGCGCATCATCAAAGATCTACAACCTATCCTGAAAGATGATCCCTCACTCTCACAGATCTTGGGAGACAGACCTGTCCTCGCTTACAGACAACCCCCCAACTAAAGCAAATACTCACCAGCAACCACACATTACTGAACAAAAACACTGACCCAGGAACCTATCCTTGTCCTATAGCTATTCAAGTTACATCATTATAAGACC